CTTTCCCTGAGGTGAGCCAGGCATCTTTCTGCATCTTTCCTTTTTACAATGGGAACGGACAGATAGTTGGTCTTTAAAAATGGAGATGTTTCTTAAGAATATTTAATTTTCAGCTGACACCGGTTTGGCTCAGTGGATAGAGCGTCGGCCTGCCGACTGAAAGGTCCCGGGTTTGATTCTGATCAAGGGCACATACCTTGGTTGTGGGCACATCCCCAGTTGGGGGGGGGGGGTATGCAAGAGGCAGCTGATTGTTGATTCTCTCTCATCCATGTTTCTAACTCTCTATCCCTCTCTCTTCCTCTCTGTAAAAAAAAAAAAAAAAAAAAAAAAAAAAAAAAAAAAAATCAATAAAATACATTAAAAAAAAAGAATATTTAATTTTCACCACTCAACAACAACACAATTACTAAATATGTTTTCTTTTTCCCATACTCACAAGCCCAGGTCCCAGTGGCTCAGTCCTCTGACTCCCCCCTATCTGCCTGCTCTTGGAGGTGGGTAGGTTGGTTCCACAGTGTGTGGCCGCACCCGGCTGCTACATCCTGACCAATGGAGGGTTTTTCAATATTCACTCAATAGAACACTTTCCCAGGGACTTACCATTTGTAACTCAGCGTCCATTGGCCCAACCTCACCCTGAGAGTCTCGCCCAGCCTGAGGTTACAATGCCAAGAGGCACAGGTGCTCAGGTGGCCTCAGTGTGAGGCCTGGGAGCTGTATGTCTAGACAGCTGTGCGCAGACCCTCTCCGCACATGGAGATCAGCATATCCCCAAGGAAAACAAGAAGAATAATGAAGAAAAATGACAGGCGCATGGGAGAGGAGTACACGGGTTTGCCTCTGGTAAATAACTCCCCGAAGGACTCTCAGAAAAGACTTACTGATTAATTGAATCAATCCATCATCCTTGGGATGACAGCATCAATTTGCAATGTTTTGGGGAGTGGTTTTATTCCGTTGCTGTTATGGCTTAAATACACAAGAGGTTAAGAAATATACCTATTTTTATTATTAAGGTGCCACAATTCTGTGCTCTCATTACAGAGAAGGCTCACATTAATTTTAATAACAATTTAGCCTGTGTCAGAGCAGCCACATGTGGCTTATAAAAGGATTTCCCTCTCTGAATTTATCTTACAGAAATCGACTTTCATTACCATCAACACTTTAAGCTTATTTGCTTCTTAATCCCATCATGTTTAAGGATGAAAAAGACAACAACAACCTTAGATCTTTCAGGAGGGACTCACCTTGGTTTTTTGTTGGCACTGCAGTCATATCTTGTGACACTGGTGCAGATTTCAGTGGTAAATGAGACCATTAGATGTATTACCTAGTTCAAATTTTTGTTGAGTTAAAAGGCATAGAGTATAAAAATGTCTTAGAGATTTTCCTCTCAAAAGTGATTGTTTCAAGATACTAGTAAGTTTAAAATCGGACATAAGGTATCAATCACGGACAGCGTTCTTTCCTTTTTTGAAGGCAGGTGGAAGGCTGATATTGTACAATGAAGAAAGGATTGAAAATGAATCCTAAACTAAGACCTATATATGATGAGGATAATTGGGCCTTCTTTTTTTTTTTTTTTCAATGTAAGGATCTTGATATCAAAGCTTCCTGAGTACAAGTGTTGAGTGCCAAACTTTTACCAAAGACAGATAAAATGTCTGAAGGAAGATTATCTTGATAATCACAGGAAGTGACTCAAGATGGGACAGTTTACTAGTAAGTAACCTCAGTGTCTCTAGTATTAGCTATTCATAAATCTGTTGTAAAAGAAATAATAGAAAAAGAAATTTAACCATGAAACTGCACATAATTAGTTGCTTAATATAAAACATATTGAGTATGAGTTATTGGTTTTTAAAAGAACTATAACATAATAGAACATATTTAACATTGAGACTATGCTGAATCTTGTAAACAATAATTTAGAAGTATTTGATGATTTTATACCATCTTAGGGTCTTCTTTATCAGGTTTCATTCTGACTTACACAGTCCAGGATCAGCCTGATCAACGCCTAACTACTCCCCTGCTGGCTCGATCATCCCCAACTGCCCTCCCCTGCACATTCCCTCTTTATTAGATAGGGTTTTTTTTTTTTTTCCTTTAACATATTAGACAGCCCTAACTGGTTTGGCTCAGTGGATGGAGCCTTGGCCTGCAAACTCAAGGGTCTCAGGTTTGATTTCGGTCAAGGGCATGTACCTTGGTTGCGGGTACATACCCAGTGGGGAGTGTGCAGGAGGCAGATGATCAATGTTTCTCTCTCATAAATGTTTCTCTCTATCTCTTTCCCTTTCTCTCTGTAAAACATAGATAAAATATATTTAATAGAAATCCATATTGGACAGTGTACCTGCCATGGTCTTGACAAACCAGTAAAAATGTAAAACCAAACTAAAAGTGTCACAAAATAAACTCCTTAGACAGGAATTTCATGAGACCTTGAAAAGGTGATTTCCTGTGGTTGTTTCTTCCTTTTTCTTGATGTTTCATCTTTTGTCCTTTCTTTCTTTTCTCCTTTTATTCCTTTTCTGTCCTCTATTTCTCTTAACTTTTCCATTGGTAGAATCCTCAGTACTTGAATCTGTCTTGCTTCCAGAAGATGAAGAAGAGGGAAGGAAGCACACCATCATATGAAGAAAAAGATGATCTATGTTGGGATTGGTGGTGTTTCTGGTTTTGCTCTTTTCCCATCTTCATTTGTCATTTCTGCTGCCCAGCATCTTTAGGACTTGTGCGTGGGCACTTCTTATTCATGTCTACAAAACCTCCCTGCCCTGGTGAAAACTGTAGGGGAAAAGCCTTCCTGGGTGGGCTCAAGCCCTGCCTGAGGTGCTGAGGAGCCAGAGTGGGGAGTGCCCGCCACCACCATTACAGAGCTAGCCTCTGGGGTATTCTCCAGTAATGTAACTACAATGCCGCAGTTTGCCTTCAGAAATTAGTTGCAAGTTACTTCTGATGTGAAACCCTACCTCAGACATTTCTTTTGTGGTTGGTAAAGATTTTAAACAAAACCCATTTACCTCCCTAACCCGGTCAGAAGTTTCTACCCAACGGGAGAGGTTTGCGTTTCTCAGATACCACTACCCCACCCCCAAACACTCCACTGGGCGTAAGGGGAGTTCTAAAGTGGACTCACCTAGGCTGCCAATGGGGCAGGATCACTTGCCCAGACGCAAGTGCTTTTGAGGCTGAGACCCTGAGGCTATAGATGTGTGCATGAGGGATCGATCCAGTGGGGTATGGACACCTTCCAGGCTGATACCCCAGGCTGCTGCTGGGACGGGATCGCTCTGTGGGGGTTTGGGCACCTCCCAGGTTAAGATCCTAGGCTGAAGGTGTGTGTGTGTGAGGGATCACTCCATGGGGAGTAAATTTGTTTTTGTTTTTTTATAGTGTCAGGAGGGCCTCTGGGTAGCATTCTTCGAGGCTGCTTATACTGCTGCCTCTCAGGGGCAGGCCTCCCTGGGACTGGGACATTCCAGGGGGCCTGAGAGGACTGGGCACTGCCACCATCTTGTAGCTATGGGTGCCACCATTTTTGTTTTGGAATGACAGTTAATTTGCATATTACTCTTTTATTAGATAGGATGGGTGGGCTCTCAAAAATTTGTTTTACAATTTGACCACATGGTGAGAGCCTTAAAATGAATTTGTATTTCTGAGTTAAGTAGTCAACTTGTCATAGTAAAAATGAAAACCTTGGTAGTGTTATTTACCAAAGGCATGCACTATTTAGTGTGTGTGTGTATGTGTGTGTGTGTGTGTGTTTACTTTGAATTCAAAACATAGCTGGTAAGTCTTGCACTATTTGATTGATAACTCCTTTCTATTAACTTTTGTCTCTTTACCTTCAACTGAGATGTCCTGTGCATTGACCTCACAGTCATCCCCATCTACTTCAATGAACCACATCAGCATGCTTTCACACTGGGAGCAAAAGCCAAGCAGACTTGGTCTTTATAAGGCTCTCACCATGTGGCCGAGAAGTCAGGAACTGCCAGTTGATCTTTGGCTTCTTGGAATGCTACCTCAAAGCTCTCTTGGTTTGCAATCAATTGTGGTTCTTTGGCTTCTGGGCTGGTTTGTGCCTGTCTATGCACAGAGAGAGAACAGCCACACCTCACAAGAAGCCCCCGTCTGCTGCCTTCTGCCCCTTCAGTTCATAGATACCTCAGCTGAAATTATGGTTGGGCAATCACCAATGCCAGGGGTTAATCTTTTTTATTTTTTATTTTTATTTTTTAAATATATTTCATTGATTTTTTACAGAGAGGAAGGGAGAGGGACAGAGAGCTAGAAACATCGATGAGAGAGAAATATTGATCAACTGCCTCCTACATACCTCCTCCTACACCTCCTACTGCCCGCAACCAAGGTACATGCCCTTGACCAGAATCGAACCTGGAACCTTTCAGTCTGCAGGCCGACACTCTATCCACTGAGCCAAACTGCTTAGGGCCAGGGATTAATCTTTTCTAACTGCTTTCCCTACCCAAACATGCTTCCCTATAGTTGCCATCAAAGACCATGCCATCAAATAGGCAATAACCGAGCTTTTTAAGTTATTTTAAATTATTTGAGTCTAAAAAAGTAAAACTCTACCTATGTTAAACAAGGGTTTTAATATAGTGCCCTCACACCTCTGTCAGACAATAGCTTGATGCTAACTCTAAATTCCAGCTAGAAGTGGGGAACCAAGCTCTCCAAATGACAGCAAGTCTATTCCAGGCAGTCTTGTGGAAAAAAAAAACAAAACAAACCAACCCTTAGTGACAGGAGATAATGAAAGTACATGTTACCTTTATGACTGCGCTAAAATGGTGTCGTGACCTGGCATTTTCTCTTTCCTTTTGACACATCCCTGCACGGCATGCGAGGGGCGTCGGTACCGCCTTCCTGTGAATTTCACAGGGGTTCCTGTCAATGACACAATCACGGGCGCGGCGAGAAAGAGCACGGCTTTCAGGGATGGCTCGGAAACGAGATTGTTTTTCCATTTATTTTTTAAAATGCAAATTACACTAGTAAGTCAAAAAAATCACTCTGTTAAAAATACATTCAGAATTAATAAACGCAAAAAAGGAAGAGAAGAAAAAAAAGAAAAAGGACACATCAGGTTTGTAACTCTTGCCTTCTGAGTATTAGGTTTATAACAAAAGCTCAGCCTAGAAAAATAGCATTCTTCACCGGATCTTGAGGAGGATACAGCTGTACAACTTGGATGTTTTTTTTTTTTTCCAGATGGAATCACACTACTGTGCTCACTGCTCCCAGCAGCGACCTGTCCACTGATGACGTTTAGTAGTCAACAACTGGTTTTGGAAAAGTTTTGGTGGTGATGATAGTAGTGGTTAGGTGGTGACTTGGCTGCAACTTAAAGCAGGAAGATGAGGGCTTTTCTGTGCATTTCAATTCTTGTCCACATACATGTCCTGGAAGGTAGAAACTGATCACAGCATGAATGTACAGTGAAACCTCATTTTTTAAATTGTCACATGAATAGTTCCATTAGAGTAGTTTCTGGCATGTAGAGTATTTATAATTTAAGACTCAAAGGACAGTACATTGGTAAATATGTTTCTCATAGAGTAAACATGCATGTCACTATAAAATGATTAGGTGAGGTTTCACTGACATGTTTATAATCATCCGTTTGATTACATGTATATATGGACAAACGTATACGAGCCACTGAGAAAATTCAAGCACAAGTGCTGGAACCCTTTTTTGTAGTTTATGTTTCAATAGCAACCTTTGTTCCTTTATCATTTTCAAGTGGATATGCGTGTGTATCACTGATATCCATGCAACATAGTAATGGGAATGGTTTATGTAGTTCCGGATGGGATAAGGTCCAAAGTAGGTTGACCCAAGAACTGAAACTTCATAGAAACCAAGAGAAAAAGTTGCTTCATGCCAATGTATAGTGTCTCAAGTCTGAATTTTGCTGCACTTAAGCATGCTATACTTGTTTAAAAATTTTGTTTTTAATGTCTCAGGTGGATCCAAGAAAAAAAAATGTGACTCATCTGACTTCCTGACAAGCCTGAGCTAATTATGTTTCCCACTCATGAAAACCAAATAATGCTTGAATATATAGAACAAAATTTCCTAGAAATTCAGATTATTTCATAAACACAGTGACCTACTATTAAGTTTCCAAAGGCATCTTGTTGCCAACTACGTTAACAGCACAGTTTTTTCTGTCACAAGAATATAGGAGGATTCAAATACACTCTACCACACAACGGATCCCCCAATCACCACAAGAAGATCTCAAATATGTCACCAAGATAACTATTGCTCCCTCCCCCACCCACCCCAAAAATAATCTCATACGCTGGAAGTTAGGGAAAAAAGTTCACCTACGTAGGGTCTTCAATGTGAATTAGATATAAAAGAGTAAACATAGCTAATACATATTCAGTTGGCCTCTGTTGATAGAAATCCACAGTTGTTTCTGTGTTAGTAAAAGACATTTGTAGATACTTAGAAAAGCACCTAGAGTGCGATAAATAAAGTCAGTGAGTGATGCCATTTCTGCTTCCAGTAGATTAATGACGTTAGTAGATGATGAAGTCTTACTTTGCCCCCGCCCAACCCCATCAGAAGCCCATACTGAAGAATTATAAAGATGATGATTATTGTTGTTGTTATTGGTACTTGTCTCTTTTTGGCCACTGTGGAGGCTCAATGGTAAAGCACTTTGCTGACAGCTGGCAGTTTTCTCGTACACAGACACACTGGAGCTGCTGGGCTATTCAGTCTTGCTTCTTGACATAAAACATACAGACTCGAACTCATTCGGAATTAATAGCAGTGAGTTAGCCTAAAGGAAGTGACTTGGGGATGTCTGCACTGAGATTCTCGGGCGCACAACTTAGGTGGGTTAAGGCAAGTATGTACGGGACAGCCTTTAGGGCAAACAACCTGCCAATTCAGACTTTGGTTACCAGGTCATCATGGCATGTTTTGTTTGTTGGTGTTTGCAATTTTGTTGCCTACGGAGCCTTGGTGCTATCAAGATGTCTGGAGTGCAGAAGACAGGACTCTCCAGCTACTGTGCCCTGGATGACTTGACAGTTCCCAGAGGCCCACCGGCTGAGCAGCAGCGGAGTTAGTGACGGCCAGCAGAGGGCACCAACACGTCTCCTTTTGAACTTTCCAAAGGCCTGGGAGAAAGAAGCCTGCTTTCAGGAAGTCCAAGCTGGGCGTGTCCTGCATTTTCATCTGTTTTAGTTAGGAAGAGGAGGCCAAGTGGAACTGGTGTGTGTCTCAGTGTGTGTGTGTGTGTGTGTGTGTGTGTGTGTGTGTGTGTCCTGGTGTATGCGAGGCTTGGTGTTTGGTATGTGAAGCGTGAGGCTTGGTGTTTGTTCTGTCAAAACGTATGTATATTTAAACTCAGTTGCTTCTTGCTCTTCATAAAATGCAGGAGGCCACTGTGAAACAAGTGGTTTTTTTTTTTGTAAGGTCCAGGAGCTGACATTATGAAGCCATATGTATTATTTCGACCTAAGAAAGAGAGAGAGAGAGAGAGAGAGAGAGAGAGAGAGAGAGAGAGATTTTTTTAATCAGGGGGGAAAGCTTAGCACCTTTTCTTGACTCTCTAAGTACAAGAGCAAGAACAAAAAAAAAAGACCCCAAGCCCAATTGTGCGTTAAATAGACACTTTTCCTCTCTTTTCCTTTTTTCTCAGTGAACTCTCCTGGATGGAGAGGCTGCTTATGGTAATTTAAAATCCATTTCTGGGGACAAATACAATGACTATGTATTGCTGTACAATTAGGCTGCCAGAAAGAATGCGATGTTTTCAAAGGTGTCTCACAGGCCAGGGGACTTCTCACAGTTTATACCGCAGGGAGCCCACACCTGTCTCTGCATGTTATGGCACTTAGGCCAGTGGTGGCCAGGCAGCTGCTTGTTAGAAAATTAACTTGTGGACACGGGAATGTTTCGGGGAAGAAACTTCATAGCTATTGTTGGTTTCAAAGAGGTTTACCCAACTCTAAAAAGCAAATTAATGATAACCTTTCCTTTTTAGGTGGATTATAGATATGTGATCTGAAGAATTACAGGCCAAGAACATGTACTACAGATACCAAATAAAATAAAAAGAGGACTGCCTATTCACGGGCTTACAGGAAGGGGTATGCGGCTGTGATGGAAGGCGGTGAGACGGTGTTTTCAAAGCTCTGTCTCTGAAACTGAAGATCTGCCGGGGACCATGGGAATCCCACAGCTAAAACGGCACATTGCTCTTAAGCATTTCCTTCCCTGAGGAACACCTCTTACTTCAGTTGCTATATCCGATTGTTAGGGTGCTTGCACTGGCCCATGACGTTAAATCACTCTTACTCTCTGAGATGTATTTATGGCTGGTAGAGAGAGGATACCCCTGGAGGATTAAAAGTATGGGGGATGCTCAGGTCTGTGCTGCTCAGCAGGGGGGGGGGGAGGTTTATGTGTGAATCGGTTTTGCTTTGTCATAGGATCTCAGTAGACAGTGGCTCTCTGGAGATTGATTTTTGAGGCCCACCAAGTTGAAAACGCCCTTCTTCATTCAACACCGCCTAGTGTGAAATCAAAAGGGGATCAAAGATACACAGAAAGTGGGGAGGGGTGCAGGCATGAATGCATGAATGGAAGCATGGTAGCTAAGTGAGTGTGAAGCAGGAGAAATATGCATTTTAAGAATCAGGGAATGTAATGCCAGAGCAGACGCATGGTCTGTCTATGAATTTGGAAAGAACACTGAACTAAGAGGCCGGAAAGCTGGCTGCTAATTGGGGCTGCACACCTGACAAGCTGTGTGACCTTGTTTTCCTTCCATTTGACTCAGTTTCCTCATCTGTAAAATAAAATCTTAGTATTTGAGACCACTCAAATACTAAGTGGTGAGGGGCTAGTAGTCATATTTTGTTGTTATATATATCTTAAATATTTCCAACTTCTTAAATTTGAATGCCATTAAACATTTAACTTATTTTATGAGCAGTGAGACTTGGAAGCTCTTATATAATTTTTACTATTCCCTGGAAGTAAAGAAGAATAATCATTATTTTTGGTTTAGGATTTAAAGTATTCTATTTAATAAAATTACAGGAAGTTTGTCTTTAAGGAATTTAATGCTGGATAAAAAAATTTGCAAAGTCCCCCCATTAAAGACATTAGAATTATAAATGCTTGATTTGAAATAATATACTTGAATATGTATAATTAGCATTCTTATGTTATTATTATAGCGGATCCTTACATAAGTGGTTATATCTACTTTATGGTAGTTTAATCACATTTATTGATCATTCCTATTGACCAACACAATGAAATGCTGTGTGCTAAAAATGTTATGTGCTATTGTCAGAGCAAGCAATTGCAAGCCTTATAGCTGTCCTGGTTTACTCTTAAGCACAAACATATTGTTACGTGTTACACATATTGTTACATGTTACTTGGCCTGGTGTTATATGAGATACAGTGTTTACAGAGGAAATCCTTTGGGAATGAAATACAGTGTATATTGATTTGTGATTTGATAAAGTCTTTCCATGGGTAATACTGGGTTAGCATAAACATTATTCTTACTAATAAATGAATTATGTTTATTTAGTACTTATTATGTGACATGTCCTATGCTTTTTATGAGTTATTTCATATAAATTTAGAACAATTATATGTCTCTATTTATGCTATCGTCTCTATATTTCTGGTGAGAAAAGGTAGGTTTGGTGAGAATAAATAAAGTTGTTCAAGTAAAGTTATATGTCCAAGGTCATAGGGAATTCAATTTCAGGCCACCTGACTTTAATAGGTCATTTTTATCACTATTCCTTACTACTTTGCCTTTATTTTTAAATAGAATCTTTATATAAGGCTATGATACAATATTGAGAAGAGTGGTAAAATATTTAGAGGGTTTATCATTTTATTTTTTAGTTAAGCTATCAAGCATGTTTGGAAGAATAGAAAGGGTATGCTATAAGTAGAAAATAACTATAGATGGCAAAAAAAAATTAACAGAGAAAAAGGAAGTATATATTAATATATAATTTAACAGTGAAATTTCAAAGAGTGGAATTTGGAAAAAAAGATGTTTGTGTCAAGAGAACAGCATGGGCAACTGGAAAAATACACATTATACTTGCAAAAGGCAAAAGTTCTGGTTTGGCTGGGAAAAAAAAGTGGTTAAGTCTAGATATCAGACTATTCATGCCCTCAATAGATTATAAGCTTCGGGAGAATAGGGGTCAATTCTTGTTCATTGTTACATTTTCCTAGCATCTTCTAGCATCATCTGCATATCATTGGGACTTAAATGTTATTAGGGGTTGAGGAGAAGAGATGTTTCCACAAAACCTTATGGCTGGAGTGGAGTAGATTTCCAGGTTTTGATAAGGGGCTTGGCCTCTGCTGGTAGGTAGCAGCAGGAAGTCATTGATAGTTTTTGGATGGGGAGTGACATGATCAGAGTGGTACTTTAGGAAGGTCCATTTAGAGGCCACAAGAATGATGAGGGAGGGGCTCTAAAATAAGAAAGAGAATGGAGAACTTAAGGCCCTGAATGCTAGGAGGACAGTGCTGTGGGGATATAAAAGTGGAAATCTGTGAAGTACTGTTTACAGAAGGAATGCTCTGAATGACACATAGTGTTGCCTGATAATTGAATCACTAGAGGCTTTTCTATGAATGGTGTTACCAGGTGCTTCTAGGGAACTACAAGGGACACAGAGAAATGGAGGCATGCTGCACAGATCATTCCCCTTTTAAACAGAAACTGCAAAGGTATGCATACAGGTTCATTTCTCTGGAGAAATACCTCCAAAACCCATTTGGTATCCTACACACTGACGGCATTAAAAGGTAAAATGATTTGATGGTGGAGGACAACGACAACAAACACATATCTTCAAAGAGAGAAGCTCACATATCAAAATGAATTGGAATCTTACTTTCTATTTTGATCCTCGCTTGCAACTCAGCATATCACTTGATGCTGATATATAGAATTTGTTATCAGTTGTTATCCAAGGGAATTTGCCTAAACACAGATATAAAAATCAGGCTCTAATCGTATATCTGCTCTCTGGAGTGCTAGAGTTAAGGGTCTGATAAGTTTCAGTGTTAAAGAGTCTGGATTCATTTTCACTTTTCAAATCACAAAAATGATAAAGTGTTGCTCATTTTTTTGATTTTTTTTTTTTTAACACTATATCTGACTGGAGTGACAACTTAACACTTACTATCTAAATAGGGGTGCTGGTAATAATTATACCAGCACAACCAGGATAACCTGTATACATCTAGACTATCCTGGGAAAAAACAAAACATATGGTTTATATCTAGTCACATACAACTACCTACAAAGTTATATGATTTTAAATATATAAAATTTTTTGGCAATTAAAAAATTAGTATATGAGTAAAGGTGGTTTTCTTAAATTATTTTTTTATTTTTTTATAGCCTGTAGTTGATACTTATATAAGACTTAAGGTAACTTTAGATGTGGCATTTCTAAGTTAAATTTTAAAATAATTATGAAGAACATGGTATCAGAATTATCCCAGTCAGAATGAGATGAACAGGAGAGAAATACTACAGTATGTAACTGAAGGAAAGTTGCATGCCATCATTTTGTGCCACAGAATTCCACTTCACCATCTTTTGGCACCCCCGATGAAAACCTCCCGAGTAATACTTACATGTACATAGGCTGTAGTTGTAAATGAGACGTCTTCTGAGGCCCTTGATAGCCATAAGAATCAAAGCCACCTATGAAATCAACTGAAAAGGGACAAGCCTTCGTTAATTAACTTTTCAGAAGAGATCGCGGTTCATGATCAAGGTCTCACACAGATTCCTCAAATAAACTTTGTAATAATCTAGTAAATCAAAAGTGACTAATTGTGGAGGGGGAAAAAAAAGATAGTTCCCTCAAGGAAGTGACTCCCCCCTCACCTGTTCTCTTTATAATGCCTTGAGTGTTATGGGTAGAAAGTGGAGCAAGGTGTGCAGTAATATAAAATTTATGATGTCTATTTGTCTGTTTAGTGGGGACATCTTTTTAAATTGGATTTTATTTTTTAGAGCAGTTTTAGGTTTGCAGCAAAATTGAGCAGAAAGTACAGAGTCCATATATACATCCTATCCTCACAGATATACAACCTCCCTATCAACCTTCCCCAGAGTGGTACGTTTGTGACAATTGATGAAGCTCCATTGACCCATCATTGCCATGCAGAATCCAGAGTTTACATTGGGGTTCACTCTTGGTGTTTTATAACCTATGGGTTTTGGCAAATGTATAATGATATGTATCATACTGAACAATTTTACTGCCCTAGAGATCCTCTGTGCTCTGCCTTCTTATCTCTGCCTCTCTCCTAATCTCGAGCAACCATTCATCTTTTTTTTTTTAATTTAAATTCTTTACTGTTTAAAGTATTACATATCTCTTTTTCCCCTACTGACCTCCCCCAGACCACTCCTACTTCCCAGCACATGCCCTCACTCCCCTACTGTCTGTGTCCATTGGTTATGAGTATATGCATGCATACAAGTCCTTTAGTTGATCTCTTACTGCGCCCCTCTGCCCCTGCCCCACCTTCCCTCTGAGGTTTGACAGTCTGTTAGATGCTTTTGTGTCTCTGGGTCTATTTTTTGTTCATCAGCTGTTTATTATATTCCACAAGTGAGTGAGATCATGTGCAACCACTGATCGTTTTCACATGTGTCAAACACAAGGCCCACGGGCCAAATCCGTCCCGCCAGGCCTTGCAATGTGGCCCGCACCACGCTGTCATCACTGCACTCCGCTGCGTTTCCATCACAATGACAGTTTATGACTGTTCAGTAAACCATTCGGCCCGCGATTTAGGCTGGATTTTAGATTTTGGCCCCTTCTCTGATTGAGTTCGACACCCCTAGTCTACATTCTCTTATAGAATGCCATGTAATTGGACTCATACAGTGTGTATCCATTTCCGACGGGCTTCTTTCACTTAGTAATATGCATTTAAAGTGCCTCCATGTCTTTTTATGGTTTATATAACATTTCTTACTGTGACTTTTTTTTAAAGACAGAATTCCTCTTCTCATCAAAATTAAAATAGTATAATGAAAAAAAACAGACCCTGATGTTGGAAGGATCACGGTTCAAATATTGCTTTGACCATCTGCCAGCTGTGTGACCTTAGACAAATCATTTAACAGCTTTTAAAAGTAGTAATTACAATAATTAATTCATACAATTAGCTTGAGGATACAATAAGATAAGGCACATATAGTGCTAGATGAGACAGGGTTTGGAAAAAGAAAATTATAAGCCCCTGGAAAAAAATCAGGACTCATTCTAAGCCTGTGCAGTGCAGGAGAAAGACAGACAGACATTATTTAATTTGGGACAACTATGGAACTGTACCAAGTGTTTTATAGAAGATGAGAGAAAAAGAGAATCTTTTGTTTTCTGAATTGCCCACATTTGTACATTAGCTAAGATAAGCAGAACCAGAAGAGCTAAATAACAATTTAATGGTAACTACATTTAAAGTTTGTATTTTGAGAAATTATTGTCTATGCCTGGGGATTTGCTGCAGATGGAGTCCAAATTCTCTTTCATTTGGGTTCACCATTGTGAACACTAAGACTTTCCTTAAACAATAGTTTGCTGAGAGATTTTCACAGCATCAAAGTTTTCATTTTCTGAGGTTCCCTTTCAGTAGGAAGGTCCTCACCAGGGAGAACAGAGGGTATTAGAGTAGCTCAAGATCAGGGTAGATGTAAACAGTGTGTCTCCTCCACCTCCATTGAGATCCAAGTCAAGCTCAGGTTCATGTGTTATTACTTTTATATATTTCCTTAGGCTCCCTATCCTCCCCTCAGGATTTCAGATGAATGGTAGAAAAAGGCAGGTGGTAACTGTCAGCCAAAGATCATGGTGTAAACCAAGGGATAACCTGAAGAAACCAAGATAAATCTTCAAGTCCAGTGGCTAGAATCTTGATCCAAAATGGAGACAAAGCTTGAGTCCAGAGGGATGTACCTTCCTAAGACATGAGAAAAGGCCACAGGGAAAACGAGGCATATCTAGCATGCTTTGCAAATGGAGCTTGAGTTGTCTGGGACTTACTCTAATTATCCATGAAGGAAAAAAGCAGATTTGAATGTAACCAGGATGGGTTTTTACCATTTCATTCATTGGGTAGGTGGATGGGGGTGTCAGATTTAAACCAGAATTAAAGGGCATATTTTCTGTACTTTATTTTACATACAGGCCTGTGTTCACAGACAATGGAATGAGGTAAGGCCATTTTCCACATGAATTCATTTGACTAATTGTATGGATGTCTTCCTAAATATCTGAGGGAGGTGAATAAGAATAAATGGAATCTAAGTGACCCACTGCCATTAATCTCTTAATGGTCAGAGTCCTCTATTGGTTGTAGATGTCTACTTTTGTTATTTTTATAAAGTATCTTTTATCTGTTATTTATAGAAAATTTACTCCTTCATCTTCTTCCAAACTCCAATCTAATATTCTCAGAATATTCTGATGTGAACCATAATCAAAACAAAAACCCACCTGTGCTGCATTTGCCAGTGACAGTTAAAAATAAGTTTTGATTTTCTGTGATGTACCTTTAAGAGGTGATACAGCAAGCATCTCTCAAGGCTTATCCATTTCCTTTGTGTATGATAACTCGTGCAGATAGCATATAAACATTTAAGCAGTCCTTCCACTCAGAAATTATTTATATTCTCAGCCCCATTTTGTGTACCTTTGACTACAGTGATGCTTTTCATAGTAAAGAGAGATGTTTTCCTTATAGCCACTTGGTGTTTTGTCTCTGCTATTTCAATGCTTATTATAAAATGTGAAAGACAGAGGAATTAGGGAAGGCCTGAATTAGAATGAGGAGGACCAGAAAAACATATGACAATGAATGCAAGATAAATGGAGAAAGGGGTAGAAAATCTAGGACATGCCAAGGTTTTGAATATGAAGGAAGGGAAGCAAAAGGCAAGATTCAAAGTTGATTCTTAGAAATTAGTTGGCTAGAAGAATGTTGCTGCCTTTCTCAGAACAAAAAAAGAATGTCAGGAATAAGTTGGTGTTTAGCTTAATTTGGAAATGTATTTAATTTACAAGGGGCACATATAAATGGCAAGGACCAGGAAATGCTTGGAAAGAGGGAAATGTAACTGAAATTGGTGCAAAATAAATTGGGGACTTGCTGTCATTAAATTTTTTTTTTCAATTATAGATGACAATCAATATTTTATATTAGTTTCAGGTGATTCCTTGTCTCTCTCCCCTCCAATAAATCATGAATTTATTTCTCCTCACTGGGCTTTATTTTGGTTCATTGCAATATATCTCTACCTGACAAGTAGTAAATGTAGTTGTTTATTTGTTGATTCCTCCACTATAATGTAACTGTATAAGATGGACAGTTTACTACTGTTTCCTACAGCCCCAGGCCCCAGAACATAGATTGGCTCATGGAAGACCCTTGTATGCATTTCTGAATAAACTGTAAAAAAAACAACAACAACAAAAAAACCAAAAGAGAGAGAGAGAGAGAGAGAGAGAGAGAGAGAGAGAGAGAGAGAGAGAGAGAGAGAGAGAGAGAGAGAGAGAGAGAGAGAGAGAGAATCAATTAGAGTATGGAAGATTAGAGTACAAAAGATGCTGATAAAATTTTTAAAACATTTCTTTAATGAGAAGTAGTTGAGTAATTACTGTAAGCTTGAGGATCTAAAAACTTACAAAAATGAAATACAAGTCCCACCCGATAAACTTTTTTGTGTTTTTGCCCTTGTCTCTTTCTGCCAGTTCTCAGGGAGGGCAACACTGTAGGCGAGACACATGCCAGCTTTCTGCTCAGTCCAGGATCTTGCATGGAACAATCTTCTAATAATAAAAGCCACTGCTTTGACAGCACATCACAGGGAAGCTTTGAAGTAGCGTAAAGATTGAGAGCTTTGGAGTCGAAGACTTGGTCTTAGCTTGTGCCTTCACTTCTTATCAGCATCTTACATAAGACAACTCCATATATCTGAGTTTCCATTAGTCCAAATATTTTTGGCGATCACTTTGTGTATTTTCCTCAGGACACAGAGAGGCTGGGACCAGCCTGGTCCATGGTCTGTGAGTCTTAGGCATGAATGCAGGGGAAAGAACAATCCAATGGAGTGAGCAAGAATAAAGACACTGAGAGCTCAGCCTCCTGCATGGGGAGGAGGACATGAGGCCAAGGCTCGATGGAAGGATTCTTTAGAGAGGAAAAGCTTAACTACTCCCCTTGGACTTGGGCAGGGCTGTGGGAGACAACAGGACAATTGCTGGTCTGGAGTGTTGTTGAGGTCCTTGGGGAAGGCGAAGATTTTTTGTTTGATAGCATTGATTTCCTCGGGTTTTGGTCTTAGGCTTCCGGGCCTGGAGAGGTTTGGATTGGGTCCTGCTGCGAGTCGGTTGGGCAGGAGAGAGCATCCAGCCGTGTTCATTGCTTTCTCCAGCAATGTGTAGCCAACCAGGGCTGGGAGTGGAGAAACTGAGTCAAAGCCTCATCAGGCATGGATGTAGGAAGGAAGGAAGGAAGGTTAATGGTTCCAGTGGAGAGAGATGTAATACGTTTCTCCAGGAGAGAGGCCAGAGAACAAAGTGGGAGAAAAAACAGGGCTTCACAGGCAGGCAGATAAGCTTGATATTGGCGATGTTGAAGAACCCTTTGTTCTCCCTAAGGAAGATGATCCAACTGAGCCTCCCTGAGGAAGGAAGTCAA